GAGTTCAAATCCCGGTCGGGTAGAATGGTGATCCTCATCGCCATATACTCAATCGAGTCGAAGTGATGTAAAATAACAAAAAAAAAACTTATTCCATTGAGATAAATATAAATATCGCGGGTCAATCCTCGATTATCGAACTACCAAAGATATGGCATTCATTATGAGTAATTGGTGCTAATTATACATTTATAAATTGCTATACACTGAAAGTTTTTATAGCGGTCCCACAGACCGGGAGTTCAGTGTAAAGGTTAATATTCTAATTAAATCAGCAACATAAATATAATGAAATAAAAAAGGAGTAGAATTACTTCGATTTGCTGCCCCATAAGCTTCAAATATATTTCATGTCAATTTTCTATATCAACCATTCCCAGAATACTTTTGATCCATGAGGAAGTAGGTCTAGAAAATGAGTAACGTGAGAGGAATGTAAAAAAGTTATATTTAACCCTTTGCTTCGTCTTACGGTACCTCACTTTTCGCCTTTTTGCACCCCCCACTCCTTTCACACCGAGATGATTCGAGACTTACGCGAAGCGATGCGTTAAAAGCTAAAAAAAAATTAGAAATAATTGTTTTCAGGATGATAGAATGAATACTTGTATAGATTCTCTTTTATCTGCCTCTCCATACACTCTAAAAAAAAGTTACTACTCACCAGTACTGAATTCTACTTGGGAGAAGTTTTCTTGTGAAAAGTTGGGAAACTACTTGTCCCAAGTACTTTTCATGTCCTTGGGTGAAGTACAATATTTGCTAAGCAAGTAGGAAAAGTACTAGGAGGAAGTACTTTTATTACTTCCTGTCAGCATTTTTCTTACTTCTCACAAGTACTTTTAATGCTTGGAGCAAGTAATTTTTCTACTTCTCGCGAGTACTTTTATGACTTGATTCCAGTACTTTTGGTTGGTTATTTTGTTGGGGAATTTCATATCATTAATTATCATTCTCATTATCGTTCTCATTATCATTATCATTATCATTCTCAGATGACAATGACCAAATTTCATCGAGGGGAGGTTACGATGAGTTTAAAAATCGCGAGATATTGCAGTAAGATTTATCACACATTGATGATTGATTATTTATATATGTTGAAAGACGAAGAATAAGTGGGAAAAAAAACGATTATTTATTGTTTATTTGCCCCCAAGACCTTGAAAATGAAGAAAAATAGCACAGTGTACTCAATTTTTGAGCTACAGGGGTTTCCTTTTGTAAATTTTTCAAAAGATGTCTAGAATAACGGTTACGAGCTACTTTTTTTCAAAATTCGACTTCTAAATAGGCAATTTCATTCTTTGTCGCATAATGAAATTGCAATTTTCACACAAGATAGCTCAAAAGATTAATACTTCAATTTTTTTGTTCAATATAAAATATAACAATTATTTTGAGAATCATTTTGCTGGCTATTTCGCATGAATATTACCTTTTTTGTTATTAAAAGAAAGGACTATTTGGAAATTAAATTTGGAAAACTTAATTGGTAATTGTTATTCTACACATCTTTTGAAAAATTTTGAAAAAAAAATCTCTGTAGCTCGAGAATTTATTACACTGGACTGTAGTCCAGTACATTTCAATTTTCAAGCATTTGAGGGGCAAACGAACAATAAACAATAATTTTATTTGCATTAATTCTTCGTTTTTCAACGATCTCCATTGTATGATGAATCTTACTGTAATATTCCGCGAAAATCCATTGGTACTGGATTTGAGTACTATTACTACTTGTCTCAAGTATTTTTTCTACTTTTGAGAAGTACAGCTCGGTACTCAGTACAAGTACTTTCAGTACTGATGATGAGTACAGTTGGTACTTGTCACCAGTGCTAATTGTACTTGGAGCATAAAACTTGTATTCAGTCGATTTTCGACTTGGACCAAGTAACAAAATTAGCTTTTCTCCAGAAACGCCTCGGTACTGAATACAAGTAGTTTTCCTACTTATCAGAAGTAATCTTTTTTTAGAGTGTAAGCTTTAAACAATAAGCTCACCCAACTTTTTCTACATTAGCCATTTTCCATCAACTTATTTCTTTCCCCGTTCACAATGATTAAACTAGTGATATGAAGTTGAAAGGCAGCTTCAAAATCCCACAAACGGATTTCGTGATTGAGAAGCTGCTGTACTAGCCTTTTGATCACGACTGCAATTTTTCTTTCAGACTTTCGCATAGTGTAAAATCGATGCAGACGTCTCCCCTCCCTGTCATATTAGGGATTTTGCACTTTAATATTCTGTGTAAACCAACAACATGAGAATGATGAAATCATTCGGTTTACGTTTCCAATGATGAACTAAAAAAGGAGTCGAATTATTTTGATTTACGTTTCCATAAGCTTCAAATGGACTTCATCTTGATGTTCTACATACATCAACCTTTCCCAGAATACGTTTGATCAAAGAGGAAATAGGTCTGGAAAATAAAAGCGTGTGAGCAATACAAAAAAGTATATTTAAGTGCTAAGAGAAAAAGAAATCAAAAGGAGGTTCATTCAGGATGATAGAATGAATACTCGTTTATCTGCATCTCCATAATCTTTAAATAAGCTCACCTCACTTTTCCTACATTAACCATTTTCCACTAAATTATTTTCTTCCCCGTTCACAATAAACTGTTGAACTATTGATATGAAGTTGAAGGACAGCTTCAAAATCCCGCAAACGGATTTCGTGATGAGAAGCCGCTATATTAGCCTTTTGATCACGATTGTAATTTTTCTTTCAGACTTTCGCATAATGTAAAATCGATGCAGACGTCTCCCCTCCCTGTCATATTAGGGATTTTACACTTTAATATTCTGTGTAAATCAACAAAATGAGAATGATAAACTAAAAAGGGAGTAGAATTATTTCGGTTTAGGTTTCCATAAGCTTCAAATGGACTTCATCTTGATTTTCTACATCAACCTTTCCCAGAATACGTTTGATCAAAGTGGAAATAGGTCTGGAAAATGAGAAGGTGAGAGCAATACAAAAAAGAACTATTTAAAAGCTTGTAGAAAAAGAAAATCAGAAAGGAATTTTTTCAGGATAAGAGAATGGATACTTGTATAGATTCTCTTTTGTCTGCATCTCCATAACCGTTGAACAATGAGCTCACCTCGCTTTGTCTACATTAACCATGTTCCATCGACTTATTCGCTTCCCCGTTCAGAATGATTAAACTATTGATATAAAGTTGAAAGACAGCTTCAAAATCCCACAAACGGATTTTGTGATTGAGAAGCCGGTATATTAGCCTTTTGATCACGATTGTAATTTTTCTTTCACATACTTTTACATAATGAAAAATTAATGGTTGCGATTGCAATTGATATCAAACAAATTCCCAATTGGATTTTGGCCAAGCAGAGTGCAATGGACAACATCAGGAGGTGAATTGGGGAAAATTTGAACAAATTATGTTAATAGAATAACCCGATTTCCATAGACTGTTAAATATAAGATTCTATCTGAAATGAGCCGAAAAAATGAAGAGCTACTGTGAAATATACAGGTAAGAAAAATGAAGAACTTCTGCGAAATATTCAAAAGCTAGGAGGAAATATCCGAAATAAAACTGTCGGGTAGCCTGAAATACTGCGCTCTGATTGGTCGAAATCCGATTGGGAAAAATAATCTATGTAAATCAAGAAGGTACTGAAGAAATTATCAGGACGGAAATTCCTCAAAAATAGTGAAATAAATACAGGAATAAATTTCAGTCGATTTATGTCTCCATAAGCTTCAAATAAACTTCAATTCAATTTTCTATATCAACCATTCCCACATCAACCCTTTCCCATTCAGAATTTTTCAGATACAGTACATCTCAAGAGCGGTTTAAAAATCCCACAATCATATTATCGCAATTGACGAACTGCTGCACTAGGCTTTTGAGTACAACAGCAATCTTCCTGTCAGATATTTCCCCATAATGAAAAATTGATGGAAACATCTTCCCATCTGTTCTTGTGGGTTAAAAACACACGACATTGATCATGTCTTTTGGCACTGTCCCAAGCTTAACAGGAAAAGTATAGCACTCCTAGAAGATTTGAGGAAATGTAAACTCTCAATAACGAACTCTGTAAAGCCTCTCCTGAAATATACAAATCCTAATATCCTAAACATAATAGGGGAGGATGGGGCAAAACGGTCCCCCTTCAATCATCAATATTTTCCGATTCAATAATCCGATTGGGATGAGTTAGAGCTCGTTTTGAAGAATGAAAAATTATCTTCAAAATGAAGTTGAAACTGGGAATTTTCACAATGTCATTCACAAGTTATTGACAATTGAAGGGGGGCCATTTTGCCCCACCCTCCCCTACACAAGTTCGTCTAATGAAACGGTCTAATGAAATGTAAACGCATAAAAAATGGTGGTATGGAAACTGTGGTTGTTTGTTGGGGTTTAACGTCACATCAATAGCGAGGTTATTAGCGATGGGCTCTCGACTTTTTCGTGTCACGAGATCGGCCGCGCGTGCTACGCACGCGCCTTCTCATCTCCTCACGTAGTGGCGCTTCGGTTTCAGTCTTACACTTACGCTCAGAACCCTTCGTTAACTATTAACGAATATTTATTTAGTCATATCAACTCTACCATTCGTTGATAGTTAACGAATCTCGTTTGGAATAAATGATTCATTCTATCAGTGTACAGACAGTGTAAATAAATTATGTAAATTTTCTGACTTTAAGCAATAAAAAAAAATCCGATCTTCCCATCTTCCTGTCGCGAATCCCGTCCCTCACCCGTCACCGTCCGCGAAAAAATTCCCCTACATGAGTATTCCTCCAAAATGGCGATAAAATGAAATAAAAAACCCGAAAGCCCATGAAATAGAGTTCCATCTCTCGGTACATTCTCGAGTGGAACCGCAGAGACGAGTGTGAGGGAATGGGATGAGGTAATAAAGTGGCATGAACGACGTTTTCGATTCCGCTGGAGGGTGATGTAACATTCAGAGAAAAACGAGGGCGTGAGAGTGAAACTTACAGTGTTGTATATCGAGATATCGGGTATACCAGGACCGGCGCAGGTCAGAACGTAGTGACTCTTGTCTGGTGAGAGTTGTGCTTCGTTGTAGAGACAGTACGTATCGTCGGCTTCACTCTTAACACCGCAGCTCAGGCACTCGGGGGCTGGCCTCTCCTCCAGTGTGGAGAGACGGTACAGATGCTGCTGGCCTGGATCACCTGGGACTGTTGCTAAGTAGTAACTGAAATTAGATTAGGAGGAAGAATTATTGTGGGAAATGCTGAAACTCATTTTATGAAGTTGATTAAGTTCATTTATAGGGGAGAGTCGGGCAAAATGGGGCGTTTAGTGATCTTCTCTAGTTGTTAATGTTTTCACTTATGAATGAAGATATTGACAATTGGAATAGATCTCAACACATCCCATTTTGCTCCACCCTTCCCTAATAGTTACTCTTTTGTTTCAACATTGAATATTTATTCATTCCTTCCTCCTCTCTCCATTCAAGGTCTCGTGCATTGCTTTATCTACCTCTGTCAGTGTCGAACTTGAGCCTGCACTCACCAGTCTACCGCCTAACTAATACCGTTAACTCATTTGTGAATTCTGATTGTGATGTGGATGTTCATACGGACTCAGTTGGAGTCATTGCATCTAGAGCTTACAAATACTTATCTGGGCTAAGAGAAACTGCTTCATAATGTTTACTTTATAATTTAAATTTGAATCTTTGTTAGTGCATAAGTTTCTCCTATTTACCTGCTTCGTGCCATTAACTCACATTTTTTTGGTTTCTTGTTATCAGAATATTTACTTTTATTTTACAATTTTATATGATATGTAGTGACCCTGTCATTGGCCTTTGGCTGTTGGGTCTCAGTGAACAAAATAAATAAATAAATAAATAAATAAATTCATTATTGATCGTTGCTTGATCATTCCTGGAATTTGAACACAATTCGTTGAACTCTTGAACTATAGTCCATGAATGTAAACCATTGACTCATTGTTAAGATCTAAAAATTATTAAAGAACCAATCACATCAAAATACCTAAAATGTCACCTTTATTTGAACAAATCAGTCAAACTTGAGAATAAACTGAGTGAAATTATTTTTTTTTTTATTGTTATTTTACATCGCTTCAACCCGGTTAGGGTATACTGCGGTGATGATCAAGACTTTAAATGGTTAGATCGCACCATTCTACCCGGCTGGGAATTGAACTCGGAACCTTTTGCATGTGAGGCAACGAACTTACCCACTGCGCCAAGCCACCGGGGAGTGAAATTATTTTTAACTCAGGGGTATCAGTAACACGATGCATTAGACGCTGTAGCTCAACGCTCAAATGTGGTAATAACTCGAGTCGAGGAATGCCAAAGTCTAATTTTTTCGTCAAGTGAATGTTGATTCCGTATTTATTAGCCCCTCTAATGCCAATGAAATCTTCAGAGGCGCGAGAAATGTCGAAATAAATTTTTTTTTCACCCGGGGCCAAAGTGTCAGATCTTGGATTTTTCGCGGGGGAAAGTCGACTTTCGCCAAAATCGATTTTTTTCGCCAAGTGAATGTTGATTCCGTATTTATCGGCCCCTCTAATGCTAATGAAATCTTCAGAGGCGCGAGAAATGTCGAAATAAATTTTTTTTTCACCCGGGGCCAAAGTGTCAGATCTTGGATTTTTCGCGGGGGAAAGTCGACTTTCGCCAAAATCGATTTTTTTCGCCAAGTGAATGTTGATTCCGTATTTATTGGCCCCTCTAATGTCAATGAAATCTTCAGAGGCGCGAGAAATGTCGAAATAAATTTTTTTTTTTCACCCGGGGCCAAAGTGTCAGACCTTGGATTTTTCCCGGGAGAAAATCGACTTTCACCAAAATCCAATTTTTTCGCCAAGTGAATGTTGATTCTGTATTTATTGAGCCCTCCAATGCCAATGATACCCTCGGACGAGTTCGAACGCTGATGTGTTTACCTTATTTTCTTGATATTTTAGTGGAACTAAAATCCGATACAAATTTTCAGAAAGTGTACCCGAAATTTCTGCCAAAAATTTTGAAAAGTAGGAGAGAGTGGGGCAAAATGAAACTGTTGAAAAAGACTGTGCGAAGCAATTCCAGAAAAAAAAAAATTTCTTGTTAAATTTTTCTTTATTAACTTTTTTTATTATTGGGAGTACTGATGAGAATAATAATTTTCTATTCGTCTTATAATTTACTTAATTAGAATAGGCCGATTACATTGTTCTTTTTTCATTTGACTGAAATTCAGCATCATACTTTCCTTTTCCCCCCTCTGAGTCGCCCCTGGGGCTTCCTCTGGACTTTGGATTTTGCTGTTTCATTTTGTTTTCAATTAATCCATTGACAAAATCTTCTCCTGTCAAAATTTCTCAACAATTCTTCATTCTACTGAATGGAAAATTACTATTCTCATTAGTACTCTCAAGAATAGAAAAAAGTTAATAAACGGCAGTTAGAAAACCAAAATATTTAACCAAAAAAATTTTTTTTGCTTGAATTGTGTCAAACACTCATTTTTCGACTATTTCATTTTGCCCCAGGTTTCATTTTGCCCCACTCTCCCCTATGCTTCAAGAAATTTAAAACGTCCATCATCTTCACTAATTTATTTTAAAGACTCTCAATCGAACTTGAAGTGGGAGGATGTACCACATCCACATCTGCCAGAGAGTGTGAATTTAATTTTCTTATTGAAAGGGAGTTGATAGCCTTCCACTCGTTTCTCCCTAGTTAGCGAGAAAATTGAGATGTCAAAACGTCCTTCATCCCTTTCCCATGAATCTTTTTCTCTCATTTTGATTCCCCCCGGGATGAATTCCAGGTCATAGATTCAGCTCTTCCGTTACGATATACGGGATCATTGCCACGCGTGCCGAAGGATACAAAGTGGGTGAAGTCAATGCGAGGATTTATGAAACACTGGGGATAGATTATACTTTGGATAACGGAGTGATAAACTCTATGCTTCTACTGTTATCAATTTTACCATTGAATGGGTGAGACGAGAAATTGAAAAAATTCTGTGAAGTTCGAATTTTATAAATGGAATGTTAAAAATCTTCATCGGAAAAAAAAATCATTTATTTTATGAATTTTCAGTTTATGATTTCAGTAGTGAATCAATATAAATAATATTGTCAATGAATATGGGCGATTAAATATAAAAAACAAGTTTTTTAAAATCTTTATTTGATAGAAAATTAAGACGGAAAAAAACACAAATATTGAATGAAACCCACTTCATCGGCAGTCGATTTTGACATAAAGATTTATCTGAAATTTTATCTCCAATTTATTTATTTCTTAAATTTTTAACAGAATTCATCAGACGCCAAAAATTTCAGTACTCATTATTTTCCTTTTTCTCTCGAATTTCGAAAATCTTTAGCGGAAGGCAAAGGAAAGTTTTATTTTACTATTTCAAGTTAAAAGAAACATGATACCGAAAAATTTGTAAATATGCGACAAAAGCTACTGTATTTGAAGTTTAATTTTAGATAAATTTCTTATCTGATATTTGACTTCCGATTGAATTTTTCTTCTTCAACTGTTGACCAAATCCATTAGTGACGTAAAAAAATTCCTCCACTGATGATTTCCATTTGCCACCGAACAAATTAATTAGACCAAAACACCACTCTTCATTGAACTCTACTGAAGGAAGTATACAGGGATAGTTAGATAATAGAGTTATCTAGATAATCTTTTGACAATCAATTTGCAAATCGAAAGGGTGACATGGGAAACTGAAAAAACCCTGTGAAGTTCGAAACTCATAAATCAAATGTCAAAAATCTTTATGTGCAGGAACACCAAGTTTTATTTCATTTTACTATTTTAATCCGATGGAAAATTGAGATGAAAAAGTGTACTCTCCTTATCAATACTCTCCTTATTATTTATCATAAATATCTCTTCATTTTAAAATGAGAAAAACTGTTCCCATAATTTGTATACTACAATGGGAATGGAATCCAATAAATTTAATTTAATCTAACCGCAAAGAAAAATTGGAAAGAAAACAATAAAATAAATTAGTAGGGGAGGATGGGGCAAAACGGCCCCCCTTCAATTGTCAATAACTTGTGAATGACATTGCGAAAATTCCCAGTTTCAACTTCATTTTGAAGATAATTTTTCATTCTTCAAAACGAGCTCTAACTCATCCCAATCGGATTATTGAATCGGAAAATATTGACGATTGAAGAGGGGCCGTTTTGCCCCATCCTCCCCTATAATATAACATAATCTAGTGACGGGCGCGAAGCGCCCTTTCGCTAGTCAACCAATAATTGAGAAATTAAATTACCAATTATTATATTAATTTTCAAATTTCAATTATGATAAATAAATTTAAATGACTATAAGGTGCAACTTCTCATAATATTACTAAAAGTAATGATTGATGTCGATCTATGTTCAATTGTCAATCGAATCCATCACTGACAAAAAATCTCTTCACCGATGAATGCCCATTTTTCTCGACCCCACAAATTACTTAAATTGAAACACTGCTCTCCCAATCACCTATGAACCCCATTCGCTCAATCAATTACCAAAAATTTCATTCAGTCTAGAAAAAAACCATCGTTCAGCATGAAAAACAATCACTCACTAGAGTAATATTCCAACACTGGGTATTGTAAAAGAGTAGTCCGTGAAATGCAATGTTTTACCGGAGTTCCATTTCCCTCTCTCAATTTTTCATCAATGAAAACGGAGAAAATACCGATAAACTGCGAGGTCGAGAAAATTATCGTCGTCCAAAGGTTATAATGTATGGAATTCTACGTAGTTATGGGGGCAATATTTTTGGGATTCCCAAAGGGACCCACCGAGCTGATAGGAAAGTTGTAGGAAGTAGGGGATGGGGCAAAGTTGTTGTCCTCTGTGTGTGACCCTTTCACATCCTGTTAGACCATATCGACCGACAAAACATGGACAAAAAGTGTTCACGTTTATTGGCTGCGTACATGGCTTGCACGATCACCATGGGGGCACAAACCCTCAGGCTTCGTAATTTTACATGATTCATTGCTGAGACCAAGGGATTTATTCAACCGGAATTAATTTTCGGGTGTAGTATATGACATTTGTTACGGCGAATCGAGATTTTAATCCTGAAAATTTTTAGTTGGTCACGCACAACAATTACGTAGAAAAATTCCAGTAGCATGAATATAACTCCAATTTTGAAGATTGAAATCTAAAATGAA